ACTTACAATACTGCATAATTAGAACCTTAGAATAGCAGATTTAAAGATCTGAAAACAACCCCGTTTGAAAGCAACAAATATGTTTGAATATGAACATGTAAAAAGTTGAGTTGAGTTGAGTTTATTATATTTCTATGCCGCCCTATTCCCCGGAGGGACTCAGGGCGGCTCACAACCAAGTCAGAGGGGGGGGGGGGGGTACAAATAAGAAAAAAGAACACGAACAATACCACAATTTAAAACACTCAACAACCATACCATTCGAGGGGGGCAAAAACTCATCAACCCCAGGCCTGCCGACACAGCCAGGTTTTAACGGCTTTTCGGAAGGCCTGTATTGTAACTTCACAAATGAGGAAAGAGGCTCGCTGGTAACTGTAACCACTTTAATGTAACAAGTAACGTTGTAACAAGAACAAAAGAGTAGACTGGACAGGCTTGTTGCTGTGCGCGGTAGATAGGGACGTCTGAACAGTAGACAGGGAGGTCAGAACAGTAGACCGGTAGCTTCCGCAGCTATGAAGTAGAACGGGTAGCCGTTGAAAATAATCTGCCTTTTATACTCGGCTGACTCGCGCTTGACAGCTCGGCAACTCTCAGGCGCATCTGATTGGCTAAGACGCGCCTGGCTGCTACCAGCTGTCATTTGCAAGGACTTGCGAAGGCTATATAACAGCCTGGAGAGAGGTGAGGGTCCGAATCTCTGCGGGGAGTTCGTTCCACAGGGCCGGAGCTGCCACAGAGAAGGCCTTCCCTTCTCAGACATTGGCTGGTAGACGGAACCCGGAGGAGGCCAATCCTGTGCAATCTAATGGGTCTTTGAGAGGTAATTGGCAGCAGGTCGATTATCATATGGTATATTCCTGCTCTCAAAACATAACCAAAAAGTGAAGGGTCCTTGGTGCTTTCTTAGCTTGGTTGTTGCAGGCATTTCATTCCCTTGTCCAGCACTGATAATGTCACCTAATTTGGGTAATGAAACATCTGCAAGAAAACAATCAAGCTGAGACCAACAAGGACCCCACATTTCAACCCTGAGCTATAAGTATTTTCTTTTAATGATAACCAAGAAGTTCCTGCAGATGTCATTCCTGCACATTCAGTTGAACCACTGTCAATAATATCTAGAACAGTGTTTCTCAACCTTGTCAACTTGAAGATGTCTGGACTTCAACTCCCAGAATTCCCCAGCCAGCGAATGCCCAGAAGAAGTCCAGACATCTTCAAGTTGACAAGGTTGAGAAACACTGATCTAGAATGAAGAATTCTAGGAATTAAAGTCTACACACCGTACACTCTGCCAGAAAAATATTGAAAATTTAATTTTCAATAGATCTCCTTTTAGCAGCTTTTTGTCAACCTGTCTTGGAAATTGACCTGCTTGTAAATAATCTCTTTATTTTTTTCCAGATGAATATTGTTCAAGGCATAGTAGCAGAAATCAATAAAAAGACAGGAGAATCTGAATGTCAGTATTACAAAGAGAGGCTGATATATCTTGATGATACCCAAAGGGACTCCCTGATAGATGAATCACGTGTTGTTTGCTGTCACGGTGAACTAAAAAACAACAGGGGAGCGGTAAGGGATTTATTTTTCAAAATAAAAATAAAATACTGATATGTTTTATTCCCTTTCCTTTGAATTTTGTTTTTTACATCATCAGATTGTTGCTCAAATTAACCAAACTATTGGCTGCAGTTAGTATGCCTTAGCAGACTTTAGAACAACAAACAAGCTAATGTGTATTAGAAAATACTATCCTTCTTTTAATAGAATTGTGATATTTCTCTATCCATCGATCTTTTCATCCATCCATCCATCCATCCATCCATCTATATATCCATCTATCATATTCCTTAGGGCTTTCCCACCACAGTACGTTCTTAAATAAGCATTCAGATCCATAAAAGGAGGACAGATCATGTAATTGCCCTACAAGGGAACAGCACCATAAAAGATCTTGCCTTCCACAACATGGAAAGTTCCATTAGGGATCATGCTGCCAAGCTACAGGACCATGAGGCTATATATAAGCACATCTTAGAAGGGAACAAATCTAGAAGTTCAAAACATTAATTGTTCATAGATAAAGCAATTGCCTAAAATTCAAGGTCAAAACAGATCAATCTGAGCACAGCCTGGATTCACTACAGGAAAGCCTATGGTTTAGTGTCACACACTTTGATCTGTGGTACTATACAAAGTCAACAGGGCACTAAGGACCTTCCTAAAGTACTCAATGGGACTGTGGAAATAACACTGGAAATCAACTCAAGATAACTTGCATAAGTGTCTATCAAGCGCACATATTCCAAGATGATGGCAGCTGCGCCGGCGTTTCTCCCCAGCCAGAGACGTCTCTTAGTAAGGCTGCTAGCAGCCCAGAATACTACCTGCTCCGTCCCCAGGCTCGGAAACATGGACAGTCTTTCTACAGCAAACACCACCTTTGCCCTGGACCTCTTCAAGAAGCTTTGTGCAAAAGATCCTTCCAAGAACTTGTTTTTTTCTCCTTTGAGTATATCTTCGGCACTGCTTATGGTCTTGTTGGGGGCCAAAGGCAATACAGAAGCTCAGATGTCAAAGGTATATCAAGATATATTTTAACAAAATGAGAAAAGGGGGGGTTGGCTAGGAGGTGGTCCCCATCCTTGATAGCCAATTATGACAATATCTAATTTATTTATTAAATTTAAGTGCAGCCCATTTTTCAACCCTTAAGTGACTAAAGAATAAATAGGAAATCCAAAGCCGGGGAGTTGGGAGATGGACTTAGAACCTTGGTTGTGGCACATTATGGGGCTTCAATCCAGGATACCCGTAGCATTCTTTTATTTTTTTCAAATTTATAGACTGCCCAGAGTCATTGGGAATTTTTAAAA